TACTCAGATAACGATCTAGTTCATTGTAGAAATTCGTCTATTCAACGGCTACATAACTCATCTCGTAATCAAATTTCTATTAAACAAAAATATTTATTATCTCAATTGTCAGACCTATGGAGAATAGTGGTACTTGATTGTCTTTTGATTGGTTTATCTAGCTATAAATGGAATCTTGATTTACTAAAAAGTTCAAAATCCATCAAATATTTTATCAACAACTTCTTTGTAGAATAATTGACAGTCATAATTCAAACAAAATTGAGTAATAAAATTTATGTGATCCTCTCAAACATGGTTCAGATCTTCTATATTTTAAAACTTCTTCCATAACTCTTATGAAATAATTTCCATACCTGTGATTGTGTATTAGTATGTCGTCTTTGTTTTGAAAAAAATATAAAAGACTAAATGGTAACCATCTTCTTATATATAGTCCTTCTTTATCTTTTTATTTTACTTCCGAAATTAGTATCTCTTGATTTCTTCCCACTTTATGATAAGTATCTATTTCATTTCATTTATAACAAAAAAAGGAAGACCTTTTAATAATAGCTAGGATGGATTACGAAAACGCAATTTAAAAAACTATCTTTTAACATGTAATATGATACCGATCATGAAATGAGAAAAAAAACAAAACACAATTTTCATTTGAAAATCGCACAAACTCAATAAGAATTCATCGGAATCTATTCTTATCCAAGAGAAATTGAATATACATATAGCACTTGTTACATGATGCATAGCCGATTCAACATATTACTTTTTGTAAGTGTTCCTATCTGTTGTAGTTCTTGTTCATCCTGTTTTACTTGTTCTTCATGATCAACCATAATTTGAATGAAATCATTTCGTTGTTCAAGATATTGTCGACGTCGATTTAATATTTGATCCAATAATTCTCTTAAATAGTCCATAGTATTTTTTGGTAATATGGAATAATCTTCAGTGTACAAATAACGAGCTAATCGTGGAAATATAACTATTCAAAAAAAAGAAAATTCATTAAATGATAAGATGTTTGACTAAATTCGCATTTTCATTTTGTAAAGAATTTGTTTCAATAGCAAATAAACAAGAATCAATTGTATCAAGTGCAAAATGTTGACTAATTCTATTCAAACTATTAAGTTTTTGTTTTCAATACGAATAACAGAATATTTTCTATATTCTTTAATATTAAATATACCTCTAGTTCGCTCCATAAGACTATACATCTAATAATAAAATTAGATATTTACAGCTTTGAGTTTGACTGTAATAAATCTTGGTGATACAATTGCTCGTGCATTTTTTCAATGATCATCTTTGAGTGATAAGAGGCCATATTCAAGTGGATCAACCAAACCTATTAGGATCGGATAAAAGTACTATTGAATTTGTTCCTTCATATATTCTAAAGAAAGATTTTTTTTAATACTTAAACAAATCTACCGCATTTTTAGCAAGATCCATATCGTTCTTATAACATTAAAAATTTCACCTAAAAAAGGGATTGGAGTTGGACCAGGTGTGCATTCAATTTATTATAGATGCAATTAAATAAAATATATGTATAACATATTATTTAAAGAAGATTACAGAGCAAATGAATGTATGAATTTATGCACTTCATATATATATATATCACAACACAATATTAAAATCTAATAATATAGGATAGTTACAATAATAAAAAAAATATTTTCGAATATGATTTATTGTGAACGACGAACAACACGTAGAAAAATACCATTTTTGCTATTTAAAATTGTTACATTGCCCAACTGAATTGGAATCTAGAAATTAAAATCCATAATAGATTTATATTTCTTATAATTTCATGATTTACTTCTGTTTTTTCACATCTTTCAAATTCAACAAGACGAAGTGCTCGAACAATGCCAAGTTTAGCTTCTACTAATGCAAATCGCATACCAATACAATTACTAAAAATATTGTATAATGAGCATGAATATACAAGCAAAAATTTGTGCTTGCCGAGGTCCATCACCGAATGCCAAAAATGCCATTGGATGTCGTTTAGCTTTTTCAGCAGGCAAAAATCTATCCAACAGTATTTGTATTTCAAAACAAAGAATATACAATTCTTTAAATGTTACCTTTCAGGCATGAATTTTTCCGGTTCAGGCCATACTTCAGAATCATGATGAATAGGATATACCGGTACGTTAATAATCGTACCTTTTGGTATAAGATAATTACCAAGTTGATAATCTTTCGATGCAACACGATCAAATCTATTACATAAATATAAATCAAGAAAATTATTCAATAAATAAACAAACCTGATGAATGGTGGATACATTCGAAGTGTTTCATTAATTACCATATCCAAATACTGAAGTTGACTTAATTTTTCATAAGTAACTTCTTCCTTCATAATAAAAAAAACTATTCAATAGTCTTGATTTATTAATCTTACTTACATCTCCTATTTCTTGTCGAATTTCTTGATAAATTTTCTCTTGAATAACTGGTTCTGTTGCCATGACATAGAAAAAGAATGACATTAATACACTTGTTGTTTCATAACCAGCGATGAGAAAAACTAGAGCTTGACTCAGAATTTCCTTATCCGACAATGCTAAACATGAAATTATTAATTAAAATATAAGAACTAATTCCGTATTTACTTTTTTTAAGTGATTTCGATTGTTGTCCTTCTTGATCTTTTATTTCATCTTCATGATCAATCATTATTTGAATAAAATCATTTCGTCTTTCTAAACGTTGTCGTCGTCGAGCTAGTACTTGATTTACAATCTTAGTTGTATATTCCATAGAATCCATTGGTAAAAATGAATAACCTTTCTTTCCTAAATAAGCACCTAATCGTGGTGTTAAGACTAGTTTTTAAATAACTAAATAAGAATATGTATATGTCTTTATTAAAGTATTCTTACAAATAATAAGAAGAAATATTCTTGCCAAAGTAAAAGTAAAGAATTTTCTCAAATGATTGATTAAAATTATATTTTCATTTTTTAATGAATTTGTTTCAATACCAAATAAACAACTTGCGATATTATCAAGCGTATATTGACCATTTGTACTAGTATAACAAAACTTTTCTTTTAAAATAGTCCTAATAAAAAAATAAATGATTAACATACGTTTTAATATCAAATATTTCTTGTTTATCAGCATATTCAAGAAGACGTTCATTGAACATATCACTAACATCATTCATAAGACTATGCATCTAAATAATTAATCGAAAAAGAAAATAATATTAAATGAACAAATTTACTGCTTTGAGTTTAGCAGTAGAGAATGTCGGTGAAACAATTGAACGAGCATTTTTCCATTGTTCATCTTTCAATGTGGTAAGTCCATGTTCAAACGGACCTACTCCACCTTCGGGAGTCTACATGAAAATACATGTTTAATGTAAAAAAAAACGAAGAGTAAGATTATGATGTCCTACTCGTCGATTAATAAACACATGAGAATCTTTGATAAGAACATTTCGAAGAATATCTAGATCAGTCACAAGAATGATCGGAACTGTTCCTTCGTAAATACTATAATAGAATTCGAATTTATTTGAATCGATTGTATCTATATAATTGTTTGCTTACCCAACAATTTTGCCATATTTTTTAATAAGAGCCATATCATTTTTATACATTCCCTACATATAAAATGAACTTTAAACTTTGAGTATTGTATCAAAATAAAATACCCTTCGCATAACGTTAAACATTTCACACAGAAGTGGAATAGGAGCTGGGCCAGGCATTCCAATTCGACGAAATATATTGTTTCCCCATAGATTATAACTAGAATTTTATTCGTTAAATATCGATTTTAAATAAAAGAATACTTACACATAATAAACAAAAATAAGTATTAGTAAAACTAATAATGTTAATTTAATTGAATCACCAATTAAAAATAAGCTCATTTTTATATTTATTATCTGGAATAAATCATAGACTAGATCATTCTATCCTTCATATATATAGATATAGATCGTTTTTTTTCATCATTCTTTTACCACGTGACTCGATCTGATGACATTATCCAGCATAATTTGTTTTTCATGACTCATATCAAGTCGCTTGTTATTTTTTTAACGAATATTGTCAGAATGAGAAAAAACAATTCAAATACTGTTCTGTTACTTTAAACTTTGGTTTGTCCAATAGCAAATATAATACTTAATTAACAGAGGACAACTATCCGAACTATTCGTTATTATTTGATATTCTTATGCATACAAATATTATGACAAAATCTGTATGATTTATAAACAAGATTTATTTTTAACAAGTAACATAAAAGCTATAATGAATTTTTGTTATGATTTTTTTTGGTTCACAGAAAGAAGAAAGAAACTAGACAAAAGAGAGAGAAGAAAAAATAAGACATTAATGATCTTATGATTCAGTAATATCAGTACAATAACAATCATCATCGGTAATAATTTCGTTTTTTTCTGTATTATTAACTGGCTTTGAATTTATTTGATTTTCATCATCTAATAGTATACAACTATCGCTATCGTTTGAAGTACAACTGTGTAAAATATAAAAATTTGTTTTTACAAAGATTGAACATATTAAGACAGAATACTTACCATCACAAGTTTGTATTATTTTCTGATGTTCATGATGTCTATCTGTATGTGTTGGTATTTGATCATCTACAAGCATAACAAAATTGTTATTATGTTCATCATGAGTTGTTGATTATTTTTTTGTTTTGTTAACAATATTTAATTCATTTTGATAATTTTCGTTTTAATGATTGTTTTATTTCATCAATAACTTGATCATCAACAATAATATATTTATCTTTATCTGTATGTTCAAGGATTAATTTTATTTTTATATGTTGTAATAATGCTTCATTTGTTCATCTTCTTCATCAGCTGGTATTAATATTCTTGCACTACCATCAGCAATAATAACATTAGGTTTATTCATTTTTAAATGTTTACGTATTAAACGTTCATATAATGAATATAATGTAAATAATGACATATGTATTCAAACACGTACTGGTTGTTCAATATCACTACATTGCATACATGATGAATTTGGTTCTTCTAATAATATTGATCGTATAATTGCACCTGTACTACGATTAGTTGATATAAATACAATATATTTAGAAAAAATTTTTTTATCACGATTCAATTTTTTATTCAAAGTTATTTCAAAATCAAACAAGAAATTTTATCAAAAATCAACAAAAAAATATGGAATTGGAAAATGATAACAATTTGTTAATTTATTAAACAAAAATCCGTTCAACATTTGTTTTGCTGAACAAAACTCATTTCAAATTGATTTTAATCCTCAACTTTTCATAAAATGTCTTTTTTTAAGTTTTGAATAAGTCTCAAAATTTATCAAATTGAAAAAGCAAAAAACACTTGATTATTTTCATCAAATAAAAATACTAAAATAGAATTTTATCAAACATAAAATCTTCTTTACAAGTAATAAACTATTATCTTTTTTCCTCTGTAAAATTCGACCAAAATTAACAAAAGATGAGAAATTTGACGTTCGTTTATTCGAAATTATCAAATTACATTCACTTTTGAAGAAAAAAAATCCAAGAGTTTTCTTCGTTGCTTGTTTGTCAACAATTTCTTTTTCAAATTTTGTTCAATTTTGTCATTGATTTTCAACAATAAAACTTTATTTTTTCTTTTGTTTTTATTTATCGATGTTTTATTAAATAAAACTTTTTTTTCTTTTCTTCAAAATTAAAATTTCACTTCGAAGTTATTTCAAATTTTTGAAGTCGATGATTATCATAATCAGCAACATAAAGATTTCCTTCATCATCAAAAGATAAACCACGGGGGCCATTCAATTGATTTGATTGATTTCCTTCACCATTTCCACCAATAACAATTTCACCTTCTTCTTTTCCTTCACACCAACGCATTACTCGATGATTCCCACCATCAACTACATAGATTTGACCAAAATGATCAACAGTTACTCCTTGAGGTGAAGATAATTGATTCAATTTTTCTCCTTTATCATTTCCGCCAGCAACAATTCTTCCTTCTTTTGCATCTTTTCTCCATTTCATTACACGATGATTGAACAAATCTGATACATAAACAGATTGATGTTCATCAACAAAGATATAGGGAGGAAAATTAAGTTGATTCAGTTGATCTCCTTGTCCATTTCCACCTGCTACTATAATTCCTTCGTTGTTGTATTCACCCATTTTCCATCGTCTCACTTCATTCTTCTTCCAATTAGAAACATAAAGAAATCCATGTTTATCCATTGCTAAACCCACACAATCGATATTGTGAATGAGAATTTGTTGATTTTGATTCACCCATTGAACCACCCGTTTGTTCTCAGTATCTGCAATGATGATCGAATGATTTTGTTGATCAATAATTAAATCTGTTGGATAATACAATTGATCCATACGATTTCCTTGCCCATTTCCACCTGCAATGATTTTTCCTACTTTTGCATTGTTTTTCCATTCAATAATACGATGATTATTAAAATCAGCAATGAAAATATTCTTCTTTCTGTCAATAAAGATTCCGTGAGGGCCGTGGAGTTGATTTAATTGTTGTCCTTGTTCGTTTCCACCAGCCATAGTGATGGCATCTTGTTTCCATTTGTTGAATTTTGGTTCTAGAAAAAATGAAAATAAAGATTTTTATGAAAAGAAGAAGAGGAAGAGTTGTTTTTCATCGAGGAAAAAAGAAAAGATTAGCTTTCAAAGAAAGCTTGGTTTTATTTTTTTTGTTAAAGTGGAACTTTGAATAAAATTTTCATAAATATGTTTAATGAAAAGACAAATCTTATTTGATATTTTTTGCTGAATTTTGAAAAAATTCTATTGAAAAAGAACATAGTTAACATTTAAAGTTTGGTACTTGGAAAATAAAAATAAATTCTTTTGAAAAGAAAAAAAAGAAAAGTCTTTAAATGTTTTTTCGAATAAAATTTAATGAATTGAAACGAAGAAATATTTTGTTTTGAAAAGAATAAAGAATTTGAAATTTATTGTTTTTCGAATAGAAAGGGGGTGATCGAAAATCACCATTTTTAACACACGCTAGAAATGT